TGTTAAAATATACATTTATTATTTAAAATACCCTTATTACCAAATAGCTTCATTACTGACCATGTCACTACCACCATCAGTCCAAAGCTACAGCTCTTCTTAAAGTAGACCAAATGTTTTTTTTTTGGCACAACATAAACTCCTGTGGTGACTGATGAATAGAAAAAAACTGCACAAAAATCCAAAAAGATGGAGAGATGACCAGCTGAACACAGTAAACCCATCCAATGACAGAATTTATCAAATTCTGTCCTTCAAATACTTTAACTATCTTACTCAAAACCTATTGGATCCAAGCTTTTTAGGATGCATTATTTTACATTCATTGTTCAAATGCCCATCATGGTTTACAGAGAGACTGGACCCACAATGCAAACAATGACTTGATGGGCTCCAAAATCAAACTCACCTTATGCAGAAACAGAAGCAATGATGTAGCGGTAAATCTACAAACCTCTCTCCAGGAATACACCAATAGTTCACTGCTGAGGTGGAGCTGGAGGGAGACCAATCAGGACCACGCTGCTGAGGAGGTGCTAGGGACCCTACAAAAGATTCCAGAAGAGGAACAGGGTGAGAAGTAAATGCTGAGCAGTAAGAAATGGATCATGATCTGAACTTAGAGGAACCAGTGTCCATGAGATGAACTAATCAGATAAGAACACAAGTAACAGAACTCAAACAGAAGAACCCAGAACAATAAAACATAACCACTACAGTATCCCCAACATAAATGGTAAATGGACTGTACTTATAAAGCGCTTTTCTATCCATCCAGGACACGCAAAGCGCTTCATCTTCCCTCCTTTACCCATTCACACAGCACTTTGTTAGGTCTCTAACAAGCTAACATGTACAATCATCTATGGAGACTAATCAGTGCCAGTCACATTCATACACTGATGGGACCCACATCAGAGGCATTAGGGGTAAAATGTCTTTCCCAAGGATACAACAACTGAGACAGCTGGATGGGGGATCAAACCAGTGACCTTCCGGCTCCAGGACGACTCCCCTAACCACTCTGCCACAGCCGCCCATAATCTCAAAGTTTAGAAATTGTATAAGATCTGTGTTGAAATGTAAACCATTATCTCTGTTAGCAAAGTATTTTACCAACTATTGGATACATTTTAATTAAAGTTCAATGTAAAAAGCAGTAGATGCATCACTAAAACATTTGAAGCCAACCCAATTCAAGATGGCCAGCACTCCATAAAGACTACAACTCTGTCAGTTTTATGGAGTGTGTGCATAGAACTGGGTGTGGTGGCAGCTGAGAGTCATTGACACATACACATGTCAGATCCTGCAGCGTTAAAGTTAATCAAAACATTTATTTATTTCATTACTTACTTTCATTCATTAAAAAATAACAAAAACGCCATTAAAAAACAAAAAAGCAAAGTACAGTATATCAAACACTAAATGAAAAGGATGCAGAAAGAACAAAAAAGTCTTCCCTCTTATACTACAAACAAACAACCAACTCAAGCTTGAACAATCTCCATATTTGAAAAAGTTAAAAACAACATCAGTCATCCTTCATATCTTATTTTTACCAAACATAATGCATTACATTGTCCCAATAAATTTGACTCAAATAAGACATTCTTAGGATTTGATCCATATTAAGGAATTACTATGTAAAATGTCTTCATAGTAACTATACTTGAACTTGAGTACTTTATTTCAGTACTTTTACCACCTTTTGAACTATTTTTTTGATTTGTGTATTTTTTTTTGTAGCTACTTAAGTCTTCAAACCTGTCCAGTGTTCCAGTTTTTAATGCCACATTGTCAGAAATGTCTGTGGTAGCATTCAAACTTTCTTGGCTCAAAAATTGTAGTGATGTAAAAAAAAAGTCAGCCTTTTTGTGGGAGCAGTGTCAATAAAACTTTTATGTGCTCCTAAAATTCCACAGCACATCTGGCCCTGTGTCCTGGGGAATAAAAGACAAGACTATAAAGAAAGAAAACTGCTGGTTGATTAAATATTAGTCCAGCAGTGACTCTGTGGCTGTGAGAAGACTCCAGTCCAATCTGAGTACCTTCTTTACAGAGATGCTTTTTTTCCCTTTACATTCTTCATGTACCTGAACGATGACTCGGCATTCAGTCGTTTTCTAGCATGTTTTATTTCCAATCTACTTTTGTTTCATCAGCATGACAGAGGTCGCCAAGGTAAAAAGCTCCTTGATGGTAGGGCACAAATGTTTATTATAGTTTTCTATATTTACTATTGAAAACCTTTCAAAGTATAACATGGTTTATTCATAATATAATACCTCCAAACATAAAACAGATTGTATAAAGGGCCACTACAAATGATTTGTTCAGTTATACTTTTTTGGACCTAAGAAAATATTTTACTTTTGAATATAAAGTGATATTTTGAAAGCTTTTATATGTGAAGACTTTGTGATTTGTATCTGTGAAAGGTGCTCTATAAATAAACTTTACTTATTGTGTTAATGCAGTCAGGGTTGAAGTGAACGCAGCAGCAGAAATGATTCATTTCTTCTGCATGAGGCTTCAGCTCTGTTATTAGTTCACTCAGCTCTAAACTGGCTCCAATGATGTCGTCTCTGTGGCTCTTTGCTCAATAAACACTGAGTGTTGTGCATCAAAACTCTGTCCTTTCAGCTCAGCCGGTTCAGACTTCATCACTGCCAGCACCTCATAGCAAACTAAACACGTGCTGGATTTCACTTCCACTGAAAAATGAAACATTCAGGATCAACTTGTCTTTGTTTCACTGCTGTCATGATTGACACCTGTCAATCACCCTAAAGCTTTGAGTCGCACGTCTTGTTCCCCCTGCTGAGTGATGAAAAAAGATCAGACGTCTATTTCCTGACCGAGTATAAACGGGCTGAAGATGCAGCAGGCCATAAATTAAAGATTCCTTCCTCTGCCCTCTCACAGCTCATATAAGTAGGAAAACAACAATAATAATGATGGCTGGATATTGTGTTTTTTTTTTACTCAACATTCATGTGTTATGTGAAGAGTTCGAAGAGGAAAAACTTTTTTTGTTGCTGTTGTTAATGGTGGTGATGGAAATAAAAGAGTGAAAATCAGCTTCATGCTCACGTTCAATAGGATCAAACCAGCTGCTCTTCTAGCTCTTTTAACAACAGGCTTTAGACAAAACAAATCATAAACAAAATAACCTGCAGAAGGAAGCTCCGCTCTGAGTCCAGCTCTGGAGTGGCCCAGCTCCTCACAAAGGTCTAACCAATCCTATGCTATGAGCTGCAATGTCTGCATGGCAGAGTTCTAACTGGGAGCAGYGTACACGATGGAGGTCACCGGGGGGATAGCAGCGGGACAGCAGGTGGAAGTTGCGCAATTTTTTGTCACTCAGCAGGGTGAACAAGACGTGTGACTCAAAGTGTAAACCAGCCTTAACTCTGACCACTTGTTTAGCTCATACTGGCCCAGGTTATGCAGTAATGTAAATTTTACCACCAAAATGTTTTTGATATTTTACCCAGACTTAAATGATTTTGTTGAAAACTGCATGGCAGGCTGGTTAAAGGTTCTGAGGACCACATACTGCCTGTGGCCCAGAGGTTCCCCTGATTTATTGCTTTGTCAGTTGTTTGTTGGGTCTGATTTTAGGAGAGTGGTCCAGCCTGAGGGTAGTTCCTGATTGGTCCAGATGAAATAATTGCTTCAAAGTTGCTGGTAAGGGAAACATGCAGAACTGGTGATGGCTTAAATCACCAGTAGATTTTGTAGGTGACGTTGTAGTTTTCTTTAATCAATCAAATCACACCAAAAATATGACTTGGATGGAAATTGAAGTTTTGGATCTTGGATGGATGTTGAAGTTTTGGATCTGTAAGGTTTTGTGTTTGACTTTCTGTGTTCATTTCTCTGTATTCTTTCCCAGCTCCTCCCTGCACACCTGATCAACATCTCTTTCCCAGGTGTTTCTAATTGTATCTTCTTTTATTCACCTTTACATCCTGTGTCCTGTCCTCACCTGTTGGTTCATTCTGCCTTCTGTGGCTCACTTTTGGTTTGTCCTCCATGTTACAGTGTTTTTGCTGAGATTTTTTAGCTGCCCTGTCAGCATTTTTCTTCATTAATAAATAATTTTCTGTTTGTCTGCTTCCTGGGTCAACCATGCCACAAACCGTAACAGGCTGTGCCTGGGAGTGATAAATTGTTTTTTCAGAAGAAAAAAAAAACATAAAAAATATGAAACTCATATTACACATAAAAAAACAATCTAAATTAAAACCTTAGCTTTCCATGAAGAATGCATTTTAACTGTCACTCATGACAGGCATGAATGCCTGAGTTTTAAATGGACAGAATGGTGGATGTTGACGTGAAATCTGGTGTCATTTCACTTGTCAGTAAGGAGAATTTTAACAACCTGTTAGTGCTCAGAGTATGTTTTCAGGATGAGTCTTGGCTACTACCATACCAAACTTTTGCACAGTATCTGTAAAACTGGCAGTTATTTACAGTTTTTATTACCTCCGCCAAGGGCGAGGTAATGTTTTCGGTCGCATATGTCTGTCCGTCTGTCGTTCTGTCTGTGGACAACATTACTCAAAAGCTTGTGGACAGATTGTTATGACATTTTCACCACGTGGGTACTGGGCCAAGGAACACACCATTAAATTTTGGTGATGTTCTGGATCACGACGCGGATACAGGAATTTTTTTTTTCTTTTAACACTCTGAGATCAGCAAAGCTGTGATGCTTTCAYAGGGCTTCTGTAAAAAACAGTGACCTGGATTGGACAGCACGGATTTCAAACTTTATAAAAGTAATGTTAAAACCAGATTTAATGATGAATAATTTTTGCTATAATGTGCACATTTTTACACATTTGGTGCGCATTGAGAGAATGTTTTGTGACCAGGAAGTGGTGACTGCACCATGAAACCTATTTTTCCCATTTCCTCAAACACACTACATTTCCGAAGCAACCAATCAAAACAGTTTCTCACTACAAGGCTTGTAAACAGAGAGCTGCCGGGCCTCAAAGTTTGGAGAACAGGGGAGCCAGGAAACACTTTAGTAGGTTGTTTACTTTTATTCTGAAGGACTTTGTGTGAAACTGGAAGTAACTATGCTAAAACCGGAAGGGCTAACTAAGCTAATAAAAGAAGCAAGCATCTCATAAAAACTTAAGAAATATCTACATATACAGTAAAATATATTGTCCAAAGTGGTAAGTTGTTTCTTTTTGCAATATTCAGCATTTTTGTAGGTGTGTAAAATCATTTTTATATATACAGAGGAAATGTGTTTTTCCTGCATGAGCGTTCTGAAGAGATTAGAATTATGCTTGCGATTTATGGGGTTTATACTCTATAATAGCAGCTAATTAGCTTGAAGCTAATGCTAGCTTCTTTCACAACGAGGACCTTCAATCAGGTTGTTTTTGGAACACTAGTCACGTGACTACATTTGCTCAACACTAGTACACAAACAAACTCTTGTAGCAGCTCCACTGATTTCAATGGAGCTTTGTTTAAACTTTAATAAATTGAGGAAAACAGCATAAACTCCACTGGAAGGACCACAAAACATTGTGCTACAGTACTTGTAACAGTGATTCAAGATACAGCCTTCCCCACATGGAAGAAGTATTTTTGATCACTCCTCCCAATATTAGTTGCAGTAGCTGGATTCAAATAATATGTTGAGCAGAATTTGACTGGAAAAAGTGCAACCATGAATTTAGTGTCTGCTCCAAACATTTTATCTGTGGCAAGAGACAGACACTGGACCACCCAGATCCCATCCCTGCATTTATAAAAAAATATTTTTGCTTTTACTGTAGCCTTCTTCTAGCTCAGGGATGGGCAACCTTGGTCCTCGAGGGCCACAACCCTGCATGTTTTACCTTTTTCCCTGCTCCAACACACCTGGTTCAGTCATTAAATTACCTTTTCCAAGTCCTGCAGAAGCCTGATAATTACTCATTTATTCAAATCAGGTGTGTTGGAGCAGAGAAACAAGTAAAACATGCAGGTCTGCTGATCTTTAGGACCAGGATTGCTCACTCCTGTGCTAGCTTTACTCGCAGAATCAATGCTAGCCTCATGTACAGTGTTCTACTGCAGTCAGTCACACACATGGTGATAATATTATGCTCATACAAATTTTAAACATTGCCATTATAAACAATGCAAAAACAGTGGCTCAAGTGATAATACACACACAGACACACACATGATAGATGCGCCAAGCTAAGCTATAAAACACCAGTAAAMACACCAACCCGTTTAACAATTCCATTCGCTTTCCATGTCAAAGACCTTAACAATTCAGCCAAAATTTCAACTGAACTTTTCTGATTCCTGAAATTGGATGTGTCAAAAATCATTTTAGGAATGTCCTTCTGTTATGGTATTAACACTGACTCTCCGTATAATGCGCTCCAATTGTCTGACCATTTCAGAGAGCTATTTTAGCTCTAGTTGCTTGCTTTAGCTTTAGTTGTGATTTGTTTATATAATTTACTACTGTATGAAGGTCAAATGTTTGTTTCTAAATTTGTATTTGGATGAATGTTATAAAATACTAAATACAATTTTAACTTGATTGCAGTTTAATCAGCTGCAGCTGAGCTGTGTATTTCAGTGGGCAAAAGCAACTAAAACAATGACTCATTTTTATTTGTACCATGGGGTTTATCGGGAGACTGGGGGAAGGGAGGCTCAGTTTGGCTTGGTAGTGATAAAGGAAATTGATGGAAAGCAGAATTTTGGGAAGTAGCTGTCATGCCCTGCTTCGTTTTTATCTGATGTTTTGTAGTTTGTTTGCATATTTGATGACATAATAAAGGGGTTAAAGGTCACAGGTGGAGACGATGTGGGTGACATCAGATTAAAGGTGGTGATAACCACAGACACACGAAAAGAAGAAAAGGTCAAATCTAAAAACATTTCACTCAAGAACATTCATCATTTCCAAAGTAGACCTATCTGACTGGGTGTAATCTAATATTTAATGACCATTATTGGCATGTTGTGGTAATCCCACACATGGCTGTAATCCAAACTGAAAAGTTGGCACATCACACATGTCAGTGTCTGCTTTGTGTTTTGTAATGAAGACAAATGAAAAGCAAGAAAAAGTCCAAAAAATAAATATTACAGAGCAAACATTTTGAATCATTTTGCTATGTCGGCTTGTTGTTTGCTGAATCTAAATTGACTTAGCAAGAAAAAAATAAAAATAAATCAATAGTACGTCTTAAAAAATAACACGTATCCCCTGGGATCTGAGTTCAGAATGTAATTTGGCAAAGGCAAATTCGTTTAGTAACGCTGCACTTCATACCCTGAAATCCTGCGAGGGAGTGGAGCCCTCCATTCCCTAAACTCTATTCCTTCAGTCCTCCAGCGTGTGGCGAGCACTTCACCCGTAGCTATCCGCTGATCGAACACAAACTTGTGTGTAATTGTATAGAGCTCCTCTCCCGACCTTCTCTGTCAGGAGAGAAATAGGGGCCATCATTCATCCTTGCCATTACCAGCCTGCCTGCCGTGAATAATGCAATTTGTATCCTCTATGGAGTGCATCCAGAACAACAGACACTCCAATAAACAAACAGCAGATCGCAGTAGAAATCCACTTACAGGGGCAGCCTGGCAACCGCCACAGCCATTAGAAGCCTGCTCAGGTCCCATCATCTCAGGCCGATAGATCCCTACCTTATCTGTTTTAGTGGAGGTCTATGATAATGAGTCTGCCAGCTTCGTTCTGCTGAAGTGCTGGATCACACACAAAACCCAGGAGGAATCCAGACACGAACACACACACACACACACCTGTGCACACACACAAACACAAACAGCTGTTTCAGTAGTGATTTGTAGGACCTGAAAGTGGAGGTAAAGGTCAGCTGGTGACCTTTTGTGAGGACTAACAGCGCTGAATAACGACTGAAATGGATCAGTAAAGCAAAGGATGCAGTGTGTGCGTGTGTGGATGTGTGTTTGTTGGTGTGTGTGTGTGTGTGTGTGTGTGTGTGTGTGTGTGTGTGTGTTGGGGCTTGAAAAGAACAAGGGCATTAAAGGCAGGCAGCTTTGGAGAAGTCGAGATATTAGAGACTAATGTTACACGTTAATGTAGTTTTTAATAAACACTAGTTTTTTTCCTCTTATTGATTTTTTTTTTCAGTATGAACTTTTTTACGAGTTGTTTTTAGGCTTTTTGTTGCTCTGTTTTCATGTAATAGTCATTAAAATGTCATTATTTTATTTATTGTAACCCTAAACCTTCTGTCTGATTCATTACGATTTTTATAAACACCCTTATTGCAGTATTAAATCATTATTTTTTAGGGGCTTTTTGTGTTTTTTTATACTTCAGTAAATTATAAAGAGGCCCACATGCAGCCTGTTAATGGTCACTAACATCATGTGTAACAAGTCACAGTCTAATGATGCCTTATACAGTATGTCCTACAAGTTATGATAATTAATTTTAGGCAGCACAGATTTTCCCACATTTATGTTAATTCATTTTAGGTGGCACAGCTTTGCTAGGGTTATGTTAATTTCCACATCTGGTCCATGTTGCTAACTTTTGAATATTGAGAAATGTGCACTCTCCTGTTAATGAAATAAATGAAATGAAAGCTGAAGTAATCACTTTTGGTAAAGTAAATTCAGACGACATTGGCCCTTTATTTTCATACAGCCATTCTACTGTCAAGAATCTGGGTTTTCTTTTTGACRGTGCCTTTTAAATTGGATAAACAGATTAATTCAGTTGTAAAATCAAGTTTTTTCCAATTAAGACTAATTGCTAAGGTGAAATCGTATCTCCCACTAAAGACCTTGAAAAGGTGATTCATGCTTTCATTACCACTCRCTTGGACTATTGTAACTCTTTGTATGCTGGCTTAGATAAATCATCTCTGCATTGCCTACAGACTGTCCAGAACGCAGCAGCTCAACAGGTACTAAAAAGCATGAACACATAACCCCGGTCCTGGCTTCTCTCCATTGGCATCCTGTTCACCTGAGAATTGATTTTAAGATTTTATTGATGGCTTTTAAAGTTTTTAATGGTCTGGCCCCATCATATTTGTGTGATCTTCTTAACATCTACACTCCAGTCAGAGCACTCAGGTCTACCAACCAGTTCCTGTTAGATGTTCCTAGATCCAAACTGAAACAGAGGTGACCGGGCCTTTGCAATAGCTGCTCCAAAGCTGTGGAACAGTTTACCTCTTAATATTCAGTCAGCAGAGATGTTGAGGCTTTTAAAACTTTTCTGAAGACCCATTTATTTTCTTTGGCTTATGTTTAAGATTTGGAGGTTCAATTAGAGCTTTTTTCATATATTGTGTTTCTGTATTTGCATCTATTATTTGTTTATTTTTTGATGTCTTGACTGAACTGTGAAGCACTTTGGTCAGCTTTTGTTATTAATGTGCTATACAAATAAATTTGACATTGACATTGAAAGCTGCCAGACCTCTGAGAGGTGCATGTTTGTAAAACTAATATCATGGCTGACACCAAAAGAGAACTTAAACATACTGTATATAATCTCAACCTTTGCTTGAGAAAACTGTCTGCTGATGGAAATTGACAGCACAGGTCATCCATCCATCCATCCATCCATCCACTTCCTCTCTGGGTTACAGGGATCACTGGTCTGTGTGGGGGGTCCAACTTTTAATCGTGTTATTAAATTTTAACTAAACTGCTTCTTAGATGACAAAAACTGTTTAGTCCTGGTTTCCTGTAAATTCACGGCACCTCAGCAGAATGATGGGGTTGTTTCTGATTCTGAGCTGACAGCTGAGTCGGCAACTTCTTGTCAAATTTATACCTTCTATGTTGTACTGCCGCTTTTTTTGCCACTTCAGTAGAAAGCAGAACTGAATATCATCTGAATWTTAGTATYTTAGCTTCTTCATCATCAGTGGCTTTGTACCCAGTCATCATTAGTTTGTACCCAGCAGTTGTTTCAAACCAAAAGGCCATGAAATGGTCACCACCTCTCACTTATTYTACCATATTCACATGTGTCCCTAGGACTGTTTGTTTGTAGAGGTACCAGCCACAGACAATCATGTTTTGATTCATARATATATTGATGGTATAACAAAACACAACTACTGTATTTATGATAAATAAACAGGRAGTGTGACAATTACCTGCCTTAAATATGCACATCCTGTCCCACTCCTGGTGAGTAAAATACACATTTCAGAAATTGGATGAAATCTATAGTGATGTGTATTTTTGCATTAATACACGTGAGGAGATGGAGACTTTATTCAGTTATCTGAAAACTAAAACTCAGTGCAGAGCTTCTACAGTCTGCTCCACAGGATGTTTCTGTTCGTCCTGAGCTTCACCTAAGACCCCTGCATTACCGTCTGACAGAGGTCCTGCCCCAGTAAAACTCCCCACCTGCCACTGTCCCAGGAGTAGACCACACCAAACACGAGGCGGAAGTTTGACACCAGAATCCACTTGGGGCTCAGCTCCCAACCTCACCAGGTAAGTGAAAAATGAAAAAAAGGTGCTTTTCACCTGCGGCTGAGCAGCAGCAGGTCTTTGATGGTCTTAGATGCTCAGAGGTCCATGTGCTCCACACTGAGTGGATCAGCATGKCTGCCCTTTGCCTGGAGTGCTGCAGTTTTTAGGCAAACATGAAAGTGTCCTGTTATTTTTGAACTTAAATGCATTTTAAGATTTCTTCTGTTCCCAGATCTGCAGTTTTTTTTAGAAAACATCCAGGACTAAACACACAAAAGTGGATTGTCTGCCTGCAATATTTTCCAGATTATGGATGCAGACTAGAATCTGGACTCGTTTGAGTGTTTAACTCTGTGCTGATGTTGCGTTACCCTGTACACATTTGTTTCCTGCCAGCTTGCTGTTTTGCTGTTGTAAGAAATAATATTTTAGGTATAATCCTGATATAAAGGATCTGGGGCCTCACGTATGAACAGGGAGTACACTCCAAAAGGTTGAGTGTGCAATGTTTCACACACACATTGGAATGTACAAAAAATACACTATATATCTGAACATTTATGGTACAAAGCTGAATGATAAAACTGACTTACATCTAATGTCATTTAACACACCTGAAAACCATGATCCAAACAACCTCAACACAATGTAAGCTGTAAAAGTGTCTTCCATTTCTGTCACCTGTAGATGTAAACACTCATCAAAACATTTTAAAAATACAGTTTTARGCCCCACCTGAAGCATCTCTGGCTCACCTTTCAATAAACTCTTCTTTTTTCTGCATCTAGACATCATTTTTGATTTCCGTCTGTTTCAGATACGAACATTTCACACATAAAAAGACGCACCCTCAGATCTCTTGTGTCTGATTGGTCAGAGATGTTGCACTGGTGGCAGAAGTGATGCTACACAATCATTTCCGGTAGGTGTCTCCAACTTTGTGCGATAAAAGAACTTGGTTGTATTTTCAGTCAAATAATTTCTCATCAGGTTTGGATGCTGAGCTGTTTGAGTTTACGAGTCATGACTTGCATTGCTGTGATGGACTTGCGACCTATCCAGGGTGTACCCCGCCCCTCGCACTGTGACTGCTGGATATGGGCACCAGGGACCCACGCAACCCTGAAAAGGAAGAAGCGTGTACAGAAAATGGATGGATGGATGGATGGATGGACTTGCATTGCTTTGCCATTGTGGTGGTGTGCTTATCACCATGCTGAGTGTGTGTTTGTACATTAGATTTGAGGTTGTGTGATCGTTGGTGCAGACATCCTTCATTTCAGTGTTTCGTCTGCCTCTACAAGATAATCCTGCCATCTCCCATAAGATGGCAGCATCAGTCATTTATAATAATCGCAGGAAGCCGTCCATGAACGAGTCAACAGGAGGCACCGGGTGTAGGAGAGGGGATTTGATCTTATTCCTAATGTGGTAGCCAATTAGAAGGAGGATTCTACTTCATGTAAAGAGGCTTTTAGCCCCGTTGACCGTTGTCTGGCAGGAGATGGACAGCAGGACAGGGACACTGCCAGAACCAGAATGAGGAAGTAAAGCCATTATTTCTCCTTCATCAGGCACAACATGATGGCTCTTGAAAGGATCCAAAGCTGTGGCCTGGAGGAGAGAAACAGACCCTCATTGTCTGATGTTTTGAATTCACATCAAGACCTCAAAGCTTATTGGGAAATGGAATTTCTTCTTCCCTTACCTGATTGATTTTTTTTCCCCTCTGGACTCCAATAAATCACTCTGCTTATATTTGCTGCTTTGCCGCTCACTTCTGGATGTCTTTGGGTTGTGGTTCATTTCTCTCAGTCCTGAGAGTCAAAAAATAAGAGTTGTGATTTCACGTGGACAGAATTCCATCAGTTACTGTAGATCAAAGTGTCAACAGTTACTCAATGAAAACTGTCCTGAAAGACAGAGACACAAGTAAAACTGGTTGCTGAGGCCTGCCAGCTTGAATTTAACTATAAAGTTGTATTTTTATACACATTTAATAAAATTTAACTACAATGGCCTAAAATGTTTGGTTGATTTTAACCTGACAAAACTTATTTYGGTTTAGGCTGAGAGTTCAAACAATGTAAATGCTAATTATTTATTTTTATTTCATTTACATTAACCATACAAYCAGATTAGCAAGTTTTATTAAAATATTTATTTTATTACAAAGGCTTGTTTTTTTTGGTGTGCCCTATTTATTAAAAAAAAAACCTCACTTTTAGGACATAACACAGTAAGTGTYAAGCTTTAAACTGACTTTATGTCCATTAATAGTTGTTTAATAAAATTGTATTAAAACAACAATGTGGGTRTATAAACATCCTTCACAATGATGATTAGTCCAGCAACCACTTCAGTGATAATTCAGACAATTCCAAACCATAAGTCTTTTCTGCACAAAACTTGTGCAAAATTCACTTTTTAACCACTTTGTTGTGTACTTGGAGTGTCTAGGAGTGCAGAAAAATTTAATTTAGTCTCTCCCGGTGCTGCAAAGATATCTTTATATACTGTTTGGGTTATATTTTCAACCCATGCAGTTTTCTCTATTTTTTTATGATGATTTATGAAATATTACGTCAAATTATTTGCAACAGAATTGAAATAAGGTCTGGATTTAGTAATTACAGTTTGGTGGTCTTCATTCTCCTCTGGCTCTGCGTCAGACTCTGGCTCCAACATAAGGCTGGATGAACAAGTCTTCCCTTGTTGAAATAATTTAAATAATTTCTAAATAAAGTTTCTGCGCAGCTGTATAATCATAAACCTCAAGTAGAATGAACTGGTCTAGAAGCTGGAGATGGGTGGGGGTGTTGGATTTTAAGAGACAGCCTCAAAACAAGTTGATCTGAGACACAGCACAGAAAAGGGGAGGGGCTTGTGGAGTTTATAACAACGAGGAATTTAAACCAAAGCATTGCTGTTCTACTT